CATGGATCTAAAATAAAAATGGATTTGATAAGGAGGGTCGATATTCCTGCCTTTCTATACATGTAGAGTAACGAAATAATGAATGTTGGGTGAGGGTCATCCGACCGGCACAATGAATCATTGGAGACTCATATGCACGACGGTGCCCTTCTTCTATCGCCATTTTATTGACGTGTTTTTTCGCTAACAGCGCCATTGATGCGATGGTCTTATGATTCTGTAGAATTTTAGTATTTTATGATGAGTTTTAATGTGATAATAATAGAAAAAGAGACAAAGATTAAATTGTCGATGAATTAAAGTACCTGCACCGACAATTTTTATTGATAAGATGGGCCACTCTCGGGCCTCTTTTTATGCATGAGCCTTTCAATGGCATAGAAATCGAAAAATAGCGAGAAAATAACTGAAAGCTTAGCTATGAAGTAAATTTTATATAGTGAAACTGGAAGTAGAAAAGTGTGATCTTCAAGGCATCTGAACCCCTTTTTTATAGAAGACGAGATCATTAAAATATTATACCATCGAGATGCGCGGTGGCTTTTAATTAGCTACATGATGACATGTATTCAGAAACTTGCAAGCAATTTGCGCTACTTTGTCAAGCGGCTTACCTCTTTAGGTGGTGGGAACTGATTCAAGGTTATAATCTTTTCACATTAGCTTAGAATGGAGATCGGACGGGCTGGGATCGGCTATGAGGAATGATCTAGCTTTTGAAAGAGGTCGACGTGTCTGCCTCATAGTTGGGAAGGGGTTGGCACATCCATGGATGGTGTCTTCAAGGTTGGCGTCTTTCTTCTTGGCAAGAGTAATCTGGGGATATCGTATGTGTTGAATTGATGACGCGTCATAATAATTTTTTAGACATTGATAGTTGTGCAATTGGGTAGAAGCGTTAGTGAGGTTCAAGTTCGATTATTTCAATTTTTTTATTAGTGAAATTAATAGAAAATAGAAAAATAATTATATGATAGAATATTGTTTTGGAATTTTATCCAAGGACAAATTGGTTATATCAGTTAAAATAACTTAGTGACATCAAAGGAAGTGACACAAGTACATGTTGTTTTGATATTTCAAACACAATACTTTATTTTTCTCTATCGAGATAATGGGAATTAAATGTGTTTAATTGGTTTAAATCTATACCATATTAGAGAATCAGTTTAGTCCAAAAGTTATCATATTTCGATCTTGTCAAGACTTGAAGAAGAGATCACGTGTTTAGACAATTGTATTTATTTGTATTTTGCGTGAATGCAGAAGAAAAATACATCACAAAGTTTATTTGCTGCTGCTGTCGGGATAAAACAGAAGATAAATGTGGATAACATGGTCTCGAAGGTAAACTCTGATCTTTTATTATTTGTTTAACGATAGTGTTGGTCATTGATCAATAGTCGTCTTGTTGAATCATGAGTCTCACTTGACTACCTTAAACGGCATGCAGTTCTTAGAAAATGAGTTTGTGGTGATGCTTTTCCATTATGATGGTATTGTTGATGAATGGAAGAATTTTGGGTGGAGCAGTAAGGTGATACATGTATCTGTTGATAATCAAACTAAATGGTATGTTCGATGATGATTATTACGTAAAAACTCAATGAACATGTTCAATCTCCAAGATATTATTCTTTTTTTTTTACTGAAACGATCAGTCGAATATTACTGTGATTGAATTAGGTGGTTTGCAAAGCGATTCTTACATCCAGATATTGTGGCAGAGTACGAATATATTTTCTTGTGGGATGAAGACCTTGGTGTTGAAAACTTTCACCCACAAAGGTATATATTAATATATACACACCAAATCAAATCATGTGTGAGGTTTGAATGGAGTTAACTCATGTAATTTTCAACTCATTTGTGTAGATATCTATCCATAGTGAAGGATGAAGGGTTTGAGATATCACAACCAGCACTTGATTCAAGAGTATCTGAGGTGCATCATCTCATAACAGCACGATGGAGGAGTTCAAAGGTCCACACGTAAGTTCAAACATACAATTTCTTTCGCGAAATCAATTGTTCTTTCATAGAGATATGCATAAATAAAGTAGCTAGCCCGATTATACAACATAGCTAAAGGTAGAGTGACTACTTATGACGATGGCCATTGACTAAAACCATCAACCATATTGTAGAAGGGCTTATAAATCCGACGGTAAGGGCGTTCAGTGTGATGATACCAGTTCAGGACCTCCTTGCACAGGGTAACATTATTTATTGTGATTAATTATGTAATAATTTTTTTTCCTATATTTGGCAAAAATAGCTGATAAGCTAGCTTATAGATTATCAGTAATTTTCAAGTTTATAACTTATAGCTTATGACATATAGTTGAAAAGTTAGCTTATGTGATAAAATGTTTGGTAAATTAGCTGATAAGCTAGTTGAAATAAAAATTTCAATGAGCTTAATTAAAAAGCTACCGAAAGAATCTTTACATATAAGCATGAGCATTTTAAAAAAGCACCTCCTACCAAACAAAGGTTATTTGAAAGCAGGGAGCTTATAAGCTAACCAAATAAGCTATAAACTAGTTTATTTAATCATATATGTTTCATAAACCTAGTTATAAAATTCTATATTTAACTTATTATATGTATATAATTAATATTGATGTGGATTAAAGTTTAAATTATATATCTAGGTGGATAGAAGTGATGGCTCCTGTATTTTCTAGAGCTACATGGCGTTGTGTGTGGCACATGATCCAGGTAGGTATATATATAATTAATTACCAATATAATTATTATTGTTTCTATAGTCAACACTCTGCGTATGGATGTTGTATTTTGAAGTCGATTTCTAACAATTTAAATGGTTTTGTTTGTGGAAGAATGATTTGATCCATGCTTGGGGACTGGATATAAGACTTGGTTATTGCGCACAGGTATTTAATTCATTTTTTATTGTTTTGTTATGAAGCCAACAGTTAGCTCCATAGAAAAACTGTCATTTTTTAATTTTCTTAAAAACATAACATTATTTGAGATAATCAATATAATTTGGTTTCGCTAACACCATGTAGGGAGATCGAACTAAAAGAATTGGAGTAGTCGATGCTGAATACGTTGTTCATTATGGTCTCCCAACTTTAGGGGAACCTCACAAGGTTATGATAATTAATACATTCTTGAAAATACTCCATCAAATCATCTTCTATATACATACATATGGATAATTAACTAATTCTTTGTATTAATTATGCATTCTTACTGCATCTAACAGGAGCCATCCGACAGCCATGCAGTGAACCAAAGAATTAAAGTGAGTACTTGTGAAAAATAAACTTATTAGCTACTTTTAATTTACATTCAACTTTAATTGGAAAAATAACATGTGTAATAATTTTAGGTGAGAAGGCAATCGTACAATGAGTACAAGGTGTTCAAAAGACGATGGAAGAGAGCTGAAGAGGAGGACGAGTGCTGGACCGATCAATATCCTGATGACCTCCAACAACTCAACCACACGCCAACTTGGCCTAATATATGATTCCTTTTCTTCTATAACTGATTAGTCCATCCTTCTTGTGATGATAATAAGATGATCACTCTTGCTCAACATTGCAATCACAAATTATTACTTCAATTTCACTTTTGTGAAATTAGAATGGTCTTTCCCAATTTGTTCCATTGTAGATAAGTGTGTTCCTCTGCCCAACCTCAACTTCCCAATTACCACTATTTATTTCATATCTATTACTATATAATTAGGGAAATCATGTAGGGTGTGCTTCTTTTTTTTTTTTCAATTATCTCAATTCATACTTAATTTATCCTCAAAGTATAATTCAACTCTACTATCCTCAGTATTATCAATATAATAAAATAATACCACTAATTACTAAGTTCATTGTTCAAGTGAGTCTCTAAGAGTTCGTGAATTTGGCTGTATAGAGTTCCATAGTTGCGATATTCAACAATTCAATTTTGTGTTCTTGCATCACTGAAGAGCTGAAGTTGTTCTTCTCATAACTCGTAAGTAGTTAGGGATTAAGTACTTTATCAGCTTGGAGAGACTCTAAATAGCTGCTTTAGTATCTGTTGTGGCAAGGAAAGAAATATTAGTTTCAGATATAGTTGTGGTACGTTGAGTAGAAACTTCTATATGTGTAATTCTAAACTATACATTGTGTGCGATCGATCTGATAATGAAAAAGCTGTAAGGGGTAGTGAGATGCTCGTCAAAGACGAATTTGTGTAAATTTTTTTTAGCTTTTAATTTTTATATTCTTACACAATTTGCGTTACTCTAGATACTCTCCCAAATTATCAAAAGCAGCAGTGTCGGTATGGCACTAAAGCCACTCCCGAAAAACTATAGTACAAAGGAAGTTTGTTTACAAAAGCTCCTCGAAAGTTAAGTGGTAAGAGAAGTAGAAGAGTATATGCTTGGTTTGTACAAGTACAATACCAAATGTAAACTAATTAAGCTTTCAGT